CAATTTGACACAGGTTAGACCATCATTTGACCTATATTCGACCTGGTCAAATTTAGGCTGAATTGTCCTTTTTTGACTAGTAATTGTCCTTTATTTACGTCCTACCACTTCAAAGGGTCTTGATCATTTTGAATTTGCACCATTACTAAATATCTTTCAACTTTATTGTCATCAATTTGAGCATCATGAAGTTCATCATCATCCAAAAATAAACTCTTTTTATAAATACGCGCCTTTGATATTTTCCTTTTTTTTGGTTTTGGCCCACATGATTCTTGTTGAATATTAGCATCATTCTTTGCTAATTCATAAACTTTATTAAGACTAGTTCTTGCTATTTCCTTTTGATCATTATCTGCAAATTTCAGTTTTTTTTGGCGTGGATCTAGTAATGACAAAATTAATGCTTCCTTCTCAATTACTTCATAATATTTTTCAAGTGCCTTATAAAGATTTGCTTTAATATTATCTAAAAGACCTGTGGTATTAACAGGAGTATTGATTTTAATTTTTCGCCTAGCTCCAGATTCATCATCTTCATCAGCTTCTTAAAATTGATTTTCTTCAAATGCATGATTATTTTTTTCTAAATCCAAATTATTGTTAAATTCTGTTGTTTGGCAAAAACATTTTTTAAGTTTTGCAATACCTGGATACATATAACTCATTGTTGCATATTTTGTACCTTCTAACTTTTCTGTTAATTCAGCAAAAGGTCCTAGAACTTCAAGCAAATCTCTCATGATTTCCCATTCATCATTAGTGAGATTAATTTTCATTAATCTTTTTGCATCTTCTTTTGAGTTTGGATCTTTACTTGCATTTAATGATGAAATAACAATATCAATATAAGGTTTTAAGATTGTTAACCTTTCCCATGCTATATATGTACTTGACCAATGTGTTTCAACATCTGTAATTGCTCTGTAAAAAACTGTATGCAAATTACTTTCTTCTTCTACATCATCAGAATTTTTTTTTTATTTGTGCATTAAGAAGGCGCTCATTTTGTTTTGGTGAAGTAAAAAAGTTAATCAACCTTTTTGCACATTGTCACCCACGTCTGCCACCTGTGAGTAAACACAATTTCTTATATTCATTTTATTACGCTTGGTTTAGATTTTTATTATATTCCTTTACTTTCTTTCTGTTATATCATTTTTCATATATAATGTTTCATTCTTTTATGAACTCATAATCTTAACTTACAAACTGCAATAGTTTCTCCTTACATTAAATAAACTTCACATAATAACTTTAATTTTGCTCTGGACTGATAATTTCATATTAGAATCATTAATTATTAATCGTTGTTCATAGTGAAACCACTATGATAACTCTTTATTAATATTAATTTCATCCTGAGTCAAGACGTAAAATCGAGACTGCAGAATTCCTACTGAATTCCACACCTATTTAACATTTTTAAGAAAATCATTTCTAATATTATCTTTAATCTATGACTCAACTTGAATAATTATGACTCACAGATTATCATCTTTCCATCTGATTCCATCTATTCCCATCTAATCTTTGAGTCACGCTAAACTATTTATAATCAAACTAATAATAACTAAGCTAAATATAACTAATCTAAATATAAATAACTATAAATAATTAAACTATAAATAAATACTTATAAATAAATATTATATAATTATAACATCATGTTTTCTAATTATCTTGGTTAAATATTCTTCCATCGGCTAAATGTTTATCCATATTTCGTTTGGTCCTTTATTCATCCGATCACGTGATTATCTTGATTTCATGGGTTACAACGTGCAATTAGAATTTCAGTAGCAAGAAGTCTTTTTCCAACAACCAATTGAATGGTATGTGCGGTGCATGATAATTTCTGGATCTGAGAGATTTGACTAAAGCATTTCTTCATGTTGGATGCGTTATCAGTGGTACAAAAAAAAATTTTATTTTGCAAATCCCATTCGAAAATTACTTCCTCTAATAATTTTTGAATATTATCCCCTGTATGTGGGTATGGAATATATTGAATTGCTAAAGTTATTTCCTTCATTTTGAAATTAGATGTAATGAGATGGGATGTAACTCCAAGAAATCCTTGCTTATTGCGAGAAGTCCAAAGATCACAAGTCAGTGAAACTGATCTTGCATTTTCATAAATATATTGCTTAAGCTGCGTTTGTGTGAATTCATATGCTTCAAAAATTTTTTTTGAAATTCTTTATCTGTTGGAAGTTCAAAATTTTTATTTAATGCATTAATAAATTGACGAAAAAAAGGAGATTTTAAAAGATAAAGTGGTTGAAAATCAAGAATAAGCCATTCAAAAAGAAGAGTTTCCAAATATTTTTGTTGATCTTGTATCATTTGTGATGAATTAGATGAAATAGATAAAACAGTATAATTACTAATTTTTGTTTGTTTCTTAAATGGTGTTGTAGCTATAGAATGTTCATAAATTTTATGTTTCTGTACAATATGACTGATAATATTACCAGTTGAATCCAATGTTTCAATTCTTGTAATACAATTTTCATCATTATCTAATTTTTGATTACACACAAATATAAATTTTTTTGAGTTTGTTGGATGATTTATCTGTTCACCCCAATTATATATCCAGCTGTGGAATTTTGAACTTCCTTTGCTTTTCAATGAATCAGATTCTTCTTTATTATTAAGAAGTTCGTCAAATGCATTTTTCATATGTTTATTTAAAGTTCCATTATTGGCATCATCGGGTGTGAGTTTTTCTATATCAATAATATTAATAAATTCAATATGGTTATCATCTTCAGACTGTGAATGTTTTTTTGAAGTTCTTTCAATTGACATATTTGGAAGCAATATATTTTATAATGAATTTCAACTTTTCTCTTTCTTTGTTCTTTCTATAAATAAGATTAAAGTGGAAGTCTTGTTAATCATTTATGGTATTTTCACACGTTAATTATTATATAGTATCTGTGGCAATCTTAGAATAATCCAGATTATCCTATAGGATCATCCATTTCGTGAACTACAGATCCAGATAACCGTTCAAAATTTACCTGGATACACCTGTTATCCTAGGATATTCGGATATAATTCTAGGATATTATCCATTTGACAAAAACTCTATTTGTAGATCTTTTCTTTTGAGAGAGTTGGGTGTAATTTAAGGGGGTGCAGATCTTGGTGATCAGTTTTTGGTCAGGTGAGGTCAAGGTGGCACATGTTTGGACTATCATGGGTTTTTTATTGTAGTTTAGTTTAGATTGGAGGGATCGTTCAAAATGAGGTGGGTGTCCTTTTGGGATTGCATAATACTAAAAAGTTCCCTTTAGTTTACTCTTAGGTAGTTTATTAACTCTGGTAATATAGTCACTTGGAGAATTTATTTTTATCGACCAGTAGGGATTTTTATCAACTAAGGGCTGGCAGTTTTTAGTTCTGATAATCTGTGGGTATGGGCTTCATTTCACCTGGTCTCATTAGCTAGCGTGTCAGAGGTAGTGGTCTAGTTGGATTGTTGTGCCGTGGGATGGATTTTTCCGTATACTTCACAATTGTGCCTTCTTTCTGGCTAAGCCCACCAGTTTGAGTAGATTATAGGCAATGTAGTTTGTTAGTATTTTTGTCAATTTTGACTTATATGTAATTTCTACTTAAATTCATATCCATGTTAGATATCTGACTGGAACCCATTAATAAAAATAAAAATAAAAATGAAAATCTGAAATTTGAAAATTATAATGTTTTTGATGAATATGATATTTCAGGACTATTATTAACATTTCTATTATTTTTTTCTTTAAGGATGGTTTTTAAACTATATATCAGACCGGAATTTTTAATAAGTTGAGGATAGAATTGTTTAGAAGTGGTATTAAAATTTTTTTTTCTTTATAAATAACGCCTTTTTTAAAAAATGGTTTACAAATTATATTGCTAAAGACTTTTTTTTAACTTTGAAATGTTACCAATATTCTGAGTTTCTTTTTGTTACAATTTTATAAATAAAATTATCCCTTAAACTGTTTTGCAGCCAAATTTGCCTGCAATTTTGTTTTTTAATTAAAGACACTTTTAAATATCTTAATTACATAAACCAATGTTTTTGTAATAAAATCTATAGTATTTTCTAAGTAAAAATTGAAAAAAAAGTTCAATTTGATTAATGATTTTTTAAAAGTAAATGATCAACAAATTATAGCTAAATTTTTCAAATTGAAATATCTTTTTATCCATTAACCCTAGAAATGTAAAATTACCACCATTTGATGTGTCTTAATGAGAAGAATCTGATAGAAATAAATTTGTTCTTCTACAAATATTATGTAACAGGATAACTTATAAAATCTAAAAATTTATAAATTAATATAACTTTTTACCTATCAAACTTAGAGTTATGATTTTATTACCATTAAATGCGCCTTAATAAGAGGAATCTAATAAATATAATTTCATCTTTCTATGATCACTAGATCTTAAGATATTTTAAAAATTCAAAAAATTTTAAAATTAATTTTAACCCCTACAGTTTAAGGGATAAGAAAAAAATTTTATCATTCATTTTTAATTTACCTATAAAGGTGTCATTAGTTAATAATGAAAAACTCTCACATAACTTCAATAGTATATCACACATTTCACACAATTTAATTTATTTATACAGGAAAGTAATCTAAATATCAAAGAATTTTTATAATTATAAATGTTATGTTTGGGAGACGAAGTCCCCCGACAAATTGCATATTCTAGTTGATTATTTAAATTAGATTAAATCAATTTCTTGTGTTACTTAAGGAAACTAGAAACATTTGAGTAATGAGCCAGATAATATATAACAGATAATTCTGCGTTCGTATATATATATATTTAATTTATAATTGATAAAAGTTCTCAAATAAAATTTTGTCACAGAGTTGCCATTAATATTTAATTTTTACACGAGACATTTGAAATGTAAAATGGAAATAGTTATTATTACAAAATATATATCGAATCATCATATGAGTTTTTGAATATAATGAGCATTCAGAATTATATCATTTGCTTAAATATAAATATTGTAAAAAAAATCGATTTATAACTATTTATTTTAGAAACCACCACTTAAATATAAAATAAAAAAAAAAGATAAATATTTTAATATTGGTTTAGTGTAAAAGCATTAACACCCTATTTGGCTGGCCACAACATGGATATCATCATCGTTTTCCATCTCAAGCTATTTTAGTGTTAAAAAAAAAAAAGATACATTTGTAATAAATAGAAAATTCTTATAAATTATTTTGATATTTTAGACTTACATAATCAGGAGTATAATTATCCTTAATACGAATTCCATCAAAATAAAAATTAAAAACTTGAATATTCAAGCCATTTCTATCACAATGGATTTGCATAAGTTTATTAAGAGGTTTCGTCCTTTTGACTTTGTAAACTGTCACATTGTTAGACTATTGAAATTTACAAATATTGTTAATAAAAGAACTAAATTCACTTTAATTAATATACATATACTTAACATAATCTCGAACTTTAAGATTAATGAACGAGTCATCAGTTGATTTATTTGAATCAACTGCTTCTGACTTGATATATTGTGACAATAACTGATCGTTAGAAGTCATTTTTCGTTCGTTTATTAGAAAGAAAAAATATTCTTATAATGGTATTGATACAATGAATGAATAAAATTACAATGAATATACTGTACCCACTAGATAACCTATTAAAAGATTTATTCATGTTGTGTCTCTATAATTATGCATGTCTATGTTACAGATCCATGAATGATAATTCCTTTTGGATTTTTGTTTACTTTTACAATATACAGAATTAGAACAATAGTTTATGGTCGCAAACGCAGTAAAAATTATGTATTGTGGCAATGTATCTTTTAATATATAACAATCATATACTGTATTCGGTATATGTGATAAATAAATTGCACTGTGACATGAATAAGATTTTTTAGCAAAACTTTATTTTGAACTTACGGAATGACTAAAGGATAGACTATTTATATTTTTATAAAATTAACGTATTCCATTTTGTTATGTAGAAAATAAACCGGAAATGAAATAATGAATCAATTGACTGTATGAATGAAAGAACAAGAAACTTTTGAGTCAATATGTTATTGAGTGTTAACAATTCATCGAATTTTCACCCAATGTAACAAATTACTGTATGCGGTTTGGCATCTATAACGGGCAACACAAGAACGAAATAGGGAAATTTCATAGAAATGATCAACATAAACGCCCAATGTAACATTGTAAAAATAAACAAACAAATCTCTTCTTATTGTTTTATTTATTATATATTACAAAATTTTATGTGCGATACTAAGACATCAAACAAACACGAACAATATGATCACAAACTGGTACATGTTACACACTTAGTATTGTGTTCTGTGCAATCAATAACATCAACGTAAATGGAGTATATTCCCAATTTCTTATCTTTTTATCAGTACTATCTCTACAATCATCAAATATTACCTGAATAATTGGAAAAAATGCCGGAAGATCACAATAAATACTCATCCAGAACCTTCAACGATAAAAAAAAACTAGTATATAAAAGGGCCATTGCGTAATTTGAACTAAAAAATCATGAAAATCTTTCCTTTTTTGGATAATTGTTGATAATGCCGGTCAGAATTTAATTCCTATTATAATTCCGGCCCTGAAAAAACGCGTACAGCTCATAGTAAAAAATTTTTTCATCACCTGCTGACCCCTACCTATATATTTCTGGGTCCTACCAGACCATGTAGGAATGTAGGATCCATCCCATTTTGTTATTATATTATTTCTTAAATGAGATTATTTTGATCATTTTAAATAAAAGTTGAATAATTTTCCTAAAAAGAAATATATAAATATTAGCATTTGATCAGCCTGTACACTTCATTGATCGGGGATAAGATTAGAAGAACAATACAATATTTAAATAAATTAATAATTATAGTATTTTAAAAAATATATATATAAATTGGTGCTGAGCGCCTGAGCGTGTAAAAAAAAACTAGATGTGTTTATTTTTCAATATCACATGATTACACCGTCCTTAATTTTCCGAAATTTTAGAATAGACAAGGGACAGAGATAAGATAATCAGGGTAGTGGATTAGATATAAATCTTTTCTTGGTAATTAAAATTGATAATATTTTCTGCTCTTCATGTTGTTATTTAGATTGAGGGCGTTTTACATGAAACTGGCCACAATCTTTACTACAATATATGAACAAAATTATATATATGTATTTAAATTTGGAGATTATAAAACTTTATACCAGCAGTATTATCGTAAATAAAAACACATTTTATCGAAATACATCTTGCATATGTAATTTCTTAGTATAAATTCTGTTCCATTTACAAAGTTTATAGAAGAGTAAATAATCTAATTTTTATACTGTATTTTATTAATAAATCACGCTGGTATCAATGTTTGAAAGTTAGTATTACTTATAAAGAACTCGCTTTATTGAATATGCCTTAAATTATAAAGTTTTAAGAAAAATTTTATATAGATAAATCAATATCTTACAATATGTAATTATTTATATTTTCAATGAGTTAAAATAAGAAGAAATTCTTGCTTTTTATAATTTCTAATTATGATTTACTAAATCGTTAAATCTTTATGACAGAAATAAATAGATATCATTATAAAACTTTGTTGATAAATTATTGTCCAATTTTATGGCAAAACACCCTATAATTTTCTTAATAAAGTTTCTTTAATCTATGTCATCCCTATAAAAAAAGTAGATACGTTTTTCATACTGAAAGATACGTTTTGTATACTGAGAGATACGTCTAGATACATCTAGAACTCTAGATACGACTAGATACGTTTTGAGACAGTGTTCGGAAATGACCTGGTCATTTGACCATTTTTCGGATTAGGAGTCATTTGGTCAAATGACACCCCATCATTTGGCATTTGGCATTTGAATTATTCGTGAAATGACAAATGCCAAATGATTGGGTATCATTTGAATGTCATTTGCGTCCTTTGTCATTTGGTCATTTGTCATTAAAATATTTAAAGATTATTGGACAATTTATAATCACGTGATGTATAAAAAAGGAAGGACGTAATCGAAATAATCACAAACAGAATCAATTTCACAAAATTATTTATTTTTTACTGTAATCTGAAAATAATAAATAATACAACCATAATTATTAAAGTGATAATAATATTTGATATGTTATTTATTATATATAATTTTATTATATAATTATATGCATAAATAAATGTTATGGCCATCTTATGATTAAATAAAGACAACAATTATATATATCGGATCCACTACATGTGTTACAATTAAATATTTTATTGCATAATTAATTAACTTTTATCTGTATGGATAAAATGATCATTAGTGAAAAAATTATAAGTGAAATAATCCAGTCTATAATAATATTATTAACAAATAATAACCTGTAAAAATAATGACAAATCACGTGATTAAAAAATCTTTACTACTATTGAAACTTTTTTGATTATATATATTAAACCAATTTTGTTTTAATATTTTTGTTTTCTTAATTAAAATAAATAAAATAATTAATAAGAATTCTCAGAATATTTAATATTTTTCAAATGACTTAAATGACAGGTCATTTGAGTTGCAAATGACAAATGACAAATGACTTGTCATTTGAGTCATTTGTTCATTTCAAGTCATTTGCCAAACACTGTTTTGAGATACGGGAAAATGCACAATTCCGTATCTTGCAAGACACGTCTTGTATACGGAGACACTGAAAAACGTATCATGTAAGATACGGAATTGTGCATTCAAAACGTATCTAGACGTATCTAGACGTATCTCTCAGTATTCAAAACGTATCTTTCAGTATAAAAAACGTATCTATTTTTTTTATAGGGCATACAAGCTATATGTAAATTTATGGTGAACTAGATTAGCGGATACATTTAAAAAAATGCTACGTAATGAACGTTCTGTAATTATAAATTAATTATTAATATATGAATGAAATTGCATTATATTGAATTCGCTTTTAAAATGTTTGAAGTTTAATAGCTATCATTTTATCATGACTATTAAAAAATATCCGAATTTTTTGAGTTGATATAAAATATTGATCAATCTCTTGTTTTATAACATGATTAATTAACACAGAATTCAGCTAATTATTCTATACAGCAAGCAAGTAAAATACAACAATAATGTAATTTACCACCATGATGATACAATTGAGCATTTAGTGTGGTGGAAAATACATCAAGCTGAATATCCATTGTTATCTCATCTTGTATAAAGTTATTTATCAGTTCAAGCAAGTTCAGTTCCTTGTGAACAATTATTTTCAATTGCAGAAATGGTAATTAGCAAGACATTAACAGGTGATAGTGCACGTGCATGCATATGTTTAAAAAGTTGGATAGATGAAAATGTTTTTGATGATTATTACTAATTGTTACTTTGAAATATTATTTTTTTAATGTTTTATTTCATACTCATTAAATATAAATATTTATAACCATATAAATATAATAAATTTTTTGAAAATTTAATTTTTTTTAAAAATTTATTATTTTAACTGTTGTGAACTTGCGATGCAAAATTAAAAAAATGATCATTGCGAATTGCAATATAATGATACTGTATAATTTGTGACCTTTTTAACCCCCTGAGTTGATAAAAGGTGAGTCATATTAAGTCATTGGCATCACTAGCTGTGTTAAGCCGTTCAACTCTCACACATTCCTACATAAAGTACTGCTGATTACTATTTCCTTTTCAAGAGGCAAGCATGCGTGCTGGTGAATGATTTTCGGCCTTAAAAAAAACTTATATAGTTATATGACCATAAAAGTTGTGAATATAAAAATAAAGAAGGGCTGTTGAATACATGGGAGAGTAAAAGTCGTAATTGTGATTACAAAATATTTAAGTAAAATGATCGTGCGGTAATAATGGTAGTAAGCATAGCAGGATAATCATGATCCATCACAAATCTGGAAAACCCCGAGGGAGAGAAAGGGGAAATCATGGAAATTTTCAGTTATTTATTCTTGAAATAAGTTAGTGATAAAAAATTTGAAATTAAATACTTATTATTAAACCATTGTTCTTTATTTATGATAATAAAGTTTTTAGATCTAATTAATTTATACTGTGTGTTATGTTTTTATAGTAAAATTACATTAATGAATAAGTATTAAAATGTAGAAATCAATTTAAATATTATTATCATTTTTTTTTAAAATTATTAATTTTATTCCCTATATTGTTAATTGATTGCAAATAATTTATCAAGTGTGCAGTTTAATTTTTGTCTTTATTCAATTCTTCAAGATTCTTAAAAGTAATGTATAGTAGATCCAAATAGCTAATTGTGTAATACTTTTAGCGACATTTAAGTATCATCTGAATACGTCGACCATCCTAAAAAAGACAAAATTTATTCATTAAAACTTAAATATAAAAGACGAAACAACCATCAAGTTGTTTATTTAAATAAATAAAACATACCATACTCAGCATACTGATTGATTCTAAAAAAAATTATTAGTGATCATAGTAGACTAAGATAGTGAAATAAATTAATAATTCCAGTATTACCAATCAACTGCAATGTGTGAGACCTGCACAGGATCTAGTCTAAGCAGATTTGGTTACTAGAAAACAGTAGAACAATTGTTAAAAAAATAATTTCTTTAAAAAAAAAGAAATGAATCATAAGTAAATGTAAACTACTATCAAATCCGAAGAAAGGTAATAAATATGTTAATTAATTATTTAAGAGTCAAATAAATATTATTTAACAATCAATCACCCAACTTATTCGCAGTATGTTAATAGCCTGAATAACTGTATTCATCAATTTTGAAACTAAAGCTAAAGTAAATAAAAGTGAAAAAATCCTTTGATCTAAATAATTTTAAAATAAAAGTTATAATATTTTCTTAATATTGTTTTAAAAATCATAGCAATAGATAATACATATCTGGATGACATCTGGATGATCAATCCCTTAAAGAAAGATAAAAGAGAGAACAATTCCAAGCAATAAAAAAAATTAAAAAACGATACAGATGCATGAGGCAATTGAGACATGGCAGAATGTGAATGTAAAAATTTGAAAGGTACCAGACGGAAAACCGAGATTAAGCGGTATCCCATAAGATAAATTAAACTAAAACACTAAGTGTAACTTAAATCTTTATAATTCTAGCCAATAAGACCGATTAAATTATCTTTCAGTAAACAAAAATATTTATTTTACACATAAAATTATTAAAGTCTACATCATATATATAAATCTACAAAAAATAGTAATCTTATTTCTTAAATCTTCTAAGTAAATTTATAAGTCAAGTTAGATCTAATCAAAGCTTTTGATTATAATTTAATTACTTGAAATACTTCATAACATTCTACTAGAAAATTTGCTGGAATACCAACATTAGAATAATAAGTTCCAGAAGTATTATAAGTCCAATTTCTTGAATTAGGACAATACAAATTACCCATTTGTGGTCCATGATTATTATTGCAACAAATAGCATAACTTCCAGAACTATTAATAGGACCTAACTTTGCAGTAGAATTATTTTTACTATCTAAAATATTAAATAGAAAACTATCTGTAGTATTTTTCCAATTACAATTCCCACCCCAGTCAAGTGGATTATAACCTCCAATCAGTTGGTTTGAATTTTGAATTTTTGCAATCCAAATTGTTGGTCCTTTATTGTCACAATTCTTATGAAATGAAGCAGTATTAAAACCATCCCTACTTGAACGATATAATAATTTAAATTTATAAGGAATATTTCTTTTATCGTAATGCATAGAATCTCTTTTATCAATCCATGAGGAAAAAATAGGAGCATAACCTGATTCAATTAAAGTTGAATCAAGTTTTGGTCTTCTTGAAGGTTTTACGTTAGTTTTAGGTTTCATATTAGGAACTATATGAAATTCCAAAAGATCATGGATTAAATCTTGTGGAAGTATATCCTTATAATTATAAACTCTATAAAAGAAATCACTAGGTCCGATATCATAAAACCTAATTAGAGGAATAAATCTATGCAATAAATTTTCTAAATTTGTAATATCTTCTTTATTCCATTCTTTTGGATCATTCTTCATTTTTTGTTGAGCAAAACACCATTTTAATAAACTCTCCCAAACATCGATTTCATCTATAATTAGATCATCTCTTTTTAGCAATAATTCTAATAAAGGAACTTTTAAATTAATAAATCTGTCGGAATTAAATAACATCATGGGATTTTCACAAATTTTTTTAAGACAAAAATCCCATAAATCCGTAAATGTTTCATGTTGATAAACAGTTTCAAGAATGCCAGTTGGATTTTGATGCAAAAATTCAGTTTGATGTTCAATCAAATATTCTTGAATATGAAAAATTAATTGTTGAATATTAAGTTCATCAACTGCTATCAATAATTTTAATATATCTGGTCCTTGTAAATCTTTCAGTTCAATATTTCCACAATAAATATATCTATTATTGAGATAATAAAATGTTATAAATAATTTTAAAATAAAAAAAGTATTTTTGTTTTTATAATTATTATACATTACCTAAGAATAATTTTAAATAAATGTGGCGCAATATTTGGTTTTCTTAAAATAAACTTACCATCCTTTTTTTCGGCCCATTCATTAGAAAATGCAGCATGAAAATATTGAGACCTAACGCATAAAATATTTGAATGAGCATGAATTTCTTTTATATTTGGTCCTTCTCCAGCATAAATAATAACATCATATCCTATTTCTTCTTCAAAAAGCCTTTTGTAATCATTGGATAATTCTGTCAAAAATTTTGAAGTCATAATTATAAAAAAAAAAAAAAAAAATGGCGCAAAAATTTTAAGTTTAGAACTAAAACATATTTATACAATTTCATGTTGATCAAATACCAAATACAGTATATACCTAAATTGATGAACATATTTGTAGTAATCTAACTTGCTGACTAATAAAATTATTTATTAATTGATAACTTGCAAAAAAAAAGTTTAGTTCCGATTGTATAAATAAGAATCTTAATATACATTATTTTCAGCATGATTTCTATTTGTGTACTTGGTATAGAAGATAAAGAGACTGTTACAGATTTAGATTTTCTTTCTGTGTTACTTGATATTTAATTGTTATAACAATACTTTTAGTATGTTAATTATGGATTTATTAGGAATAAATTGAATAATAAATAAGATTTTGGGTAATTAAAGCTTTTACATTTGGTTTGATGCAAAAATTGGGATCATCTATATATTAATGCATGCTTTAATATATAAAGCAATTATTAAAAAGTTATTATCATGTATTGTGCTTGTGAATTTTAATATCCTTATTGTAATATCAAATATATTACGTTAAATCATGTTGCTTAAATTTTAATTTGTAAAAAAGAAATTAAATGTTAAAGATTACTGTTTATTAAAAAGCAGGGTTTAAATCATTTTCATTTGTTTACCTGATGAGTCAATGGAAATACTTGCTAGATTATTATAATTATCATAGTCCAAAGATAACTTAATTTGACTTATTTCACATACATTTTTTTTTCGTTGAAAATAACGAAAGTAAAATAAAAAACTTAAAAGATTTAGTAAATTCCATCCATATTCTTGGCCAACTACATCTTCAAAAGATACAAATATTTCATTACACGTTCAAATACCAAGTTCTAATAATGAAGTTAACAATGGTAAGGAGATTCCATAAGTTTGTTCTAGAATTCTAAAAAGGATTAGTAAAAATGTAAAGCAAGGACAATAATATCATCGATAACATATTTGAATGGCAATTTTTTCAGGTAATGAAATACTGTAAAAGGAATTATATGAGGACAAAATAATTATTATATACTAAAAATCTTGGATTTATTTGATTTAGCAGTTTCCAAATGATAAATTATTCAAATTATTAATAATATTTTCGAAAATTATGAATATTTTTAAATATAACCAAAAATAGAACGTCATGAACGCGTATGACATAACGTTCTAACTATGATGGGATTGATACGCTTAATATTTTATCTAAGTCAATAATGATAATAATAAAATTATTATTATTTTGATCTAAAGTTAGGCGACTTTTGAAATCATTAAATTATCTTTTAGCGAATTTCCATTTTCTGAATAAGTCAAAATTTTATGTCATTATTTTACTTTGACAATTTTTAGATTTTTTTTTCTAATTTTCCCATCGAATGAAAAATATTTTATTTTTGAAGTGAATCAAGCCAAATATAGTTAATTACTGATCAACAGATTTATAAAAAGCATGAAACCAAATAAATTTAATTTAAAAGCTCGTTACTTGTGTTACGCGGAATGATGATCGATCTGTGCCACACCGAAACTTCAAGAAATTCGCAGGTAATCTAAATGATCAGCGGCGTAACAGTTTGTACTTTATTTATTAAAAATTTATTATATATGTTAAAATTTTATGCGGAACTCATATTATATTACATTTTCCGAACTTGAAACTGCAATATAATGCTAATTTTCTTTTTTAATAATATTTCATTTTCGACCATTCCCACCCGGTTTATCTTTTTTTCTATTCCTATTTTTTATTTTATTTTTTTTCAAATATACCGGTTCTTATATTATAGACTGAATTATTTTTTATTTTTAATTGTTTTTTTACTTTTATTTTTTAGTTCAATACTGAAAAATAAAAATTTTTTTTTTATTTTCGATCTTTTTTTCAAAAACCCAAAAAATTTTTCTTGTTAAATAAATTTTATTTTTATTATACATTTTGTTAAAATTATTAACTAGAGAATATTTTTACCAAATGCCAACACTTGGTAGCAATAGATATAGATAAGTTTATCAAATATGACATATATTATAATAAATTGTTGGATTTATTGGTTGAATTGGCTTCATTCACTTTATACAAAATTCATATTTGTTTTCCTGATAAATTTAATTAAAGATCTTTACAATTATTTTTACTAATTAGAGTAATAAATGTAAAAAAATGTTACATTTATAATCATCGTGAAATTAAATGGTCAAATAAGGAAGAATATAATTAGTAATATATAAATTTTTTGGTATGTTATTGGTATAATTCATATAATGTGTTTGTAATCTTAGATATTGAATATATTATATAAATGTGTACATTAGTACATTATGTTGTCTTTCTATGATTATGGAACTTAATTGGCTTATTCGATTTGATATGTTTCAAGTCATTCCATTCAATAATATCAGTTCAGAGCTGGAATGGTCGTTCCCCATTCCAAGTTCAGGAAGGAATGATCCCAGTTTTTTCCGCACTTTTTGATAATCCTTCGAATGGAAATCTGATAATAGTTTTGGTATTACTGAAGATAGTTTATACTCTCTTTTAGTAATTATGGTATTGAGAATTACATTTAAGTCGTATAAGTGATGAAACGAAAGCTATATGTAATAATCGCTATTACGGTCCATCTTTTGGTGCTACGTTTAAAGTTAAGTTTGATCGTTTATTTATCTTTTGTAATAATAACGTTATGAAAAACAGATCCATGTGCTACTTATACATTAGATTTCGAAGTATTTCAATTGTTAAGGACTGATGATTGAATCCTAATCTAATATTTCATAATTTATTTACAAAGTTAAATTGTTAGAAATAATACAAATCTAGGTTGCATCAATTATGTATTATTATTTTATTGATTTGTAATAAATCTGTTAGTCCCTGAAAATACAAATAATTATTCATGATATTATTTTATGTTGGAATTTTTAAAAAACAATACGATTTATCCTATCCAATATGAATAAATACCAGATCAGTGAATTTGTTGTTCATTAAGATTGGTTTAATATAGATATAATTTCTTAAATTGATTCAAAATTTTATTCTATTACCTAATAATATTAAATTATTTGAAGTGTTTGTTACATTAGTGTTGACAGATATCATGCTATTTATATCTCATGTGCGTTTAGTCTTGGGATAAAATAAAAAAAAATAAAAATATGAGATCGTAATTATTTTTTTTTTAAAAAAAAATCAGAGTAAGATATAAATTTACAAATTAATTATTACAAAATGTCATGTTTTAACTTTTAAATATCTATTCTCGTTAAAAATTTGATATTATCTAATATTTTATTTTAAAACATTAAAAAGTATCACAATTTCTACCGTACTGATAGAAAAAATTGATTTTCTAACCTGAATCATACACTACGTAACATATAATTTTTGAAAACAACCAAATTTTTACTAAAACTATTTTGAAAGATTTTAAATAAATAATCAAAATCCATAAAAATTTCAACTTTATATAATTTAAATACTTTTAATTCATCCACTTCAAATTTTTCTATACGAAAAAAACTCAAAAGAGTCAGATAATGGTTTTTTGATCTGGTTTTCATATGATTGACTTGTACACCTAACCATCAAATCATAACTAAATTCATTAAATAAAAGAAGATCACCATCAACCAAATGATGGACCATGAAATAAACCATTATATATCATTGTCCACATGGCTTAAAATATTATTAATAATGTTACATCAATATCATGACTAAAAGAGAATATAAAACTATCTCAAGTAATACCAAAACTATTATCAGATTTCCATTCAATTGGACTATACCCTCCAAGAATTTCGTTACTACCTCTTATTTTTAATAACTGTTACGGTATGTGATTAATTATCACAAATTTCATGGAATTTTTTAAATCTATCAAATCCATCAACAGATTCGCGATATAATAATTTGAAGTTATATGAAATTTCTAACTCGTCTGTAGATTTTTGACCATTAATCCATTTTGAAATTAATTCAGCACGTTGTGTTGTTATAATTTTAGAATTAATACCGTTTTCTTCAAACTTTTCAACGTTAGTTGTCGGCTTTTTAATTGGCTTCCTGTCATCGTTCAAAAAATCATCCAATAGTTCGTTATACAAATCCTTTGGCAAGATTTTTTTGTAAGGTAATACCTTCTTTGAAAAGTCCTTAGAAGTCAAATTATGGAATTTAATGAAAGGTATACATTGTTGTAAAGTATTCTTTAAAGTATTAAAATCATTTCTTGAGTAACTTGTAGGATCAGAGAAAAGTTCTGGATTTCGAGCAAGTCCCCATTTAATCACATAATCCCAAACATGAATGCTCATCTGAAGATTATCATTTTTAATAAGTGATATCAAAAGATTTTCTGGAATTGAAATGACATTTAATGATGCAAATATCTTTTCCGGTTTGTTTGAAATTAAATTAGTACAAATATTCTTGAAGTTTTACAGAAAGTTCATTTTTCAAAACTTGTTTTAAATATCAAATCAAAATTCTATTCAATCCAATTTGTCCCTGTTTCCAATTAAAAAGGATTCTAAACAAGGTATTAATTCCTGAAGATTAAGTTCGTTGGCAGCAATTAAGATTTTAATAATATCTTAAGGTTCATATTCTTTTAATGAAAGATTTCCTCCATAAATATATCTAAAAATTAAAATATATATATATATTAATGAACAATCACTTTTTTTATTTTAATCTTTAAATTTCTTTCTTAATTATTACATACCTTAAATCTATACTAAAAATTTCAGGTAAAATATTTGGTAATTTAATATTTGTTAAGGTTTCATAATTTTTCTTTATTGTCAACCATTATAATTTTGAAAGAAATAAAATTTGTAAATTTTTTTTTTTTAATATAATTTATAAAAATAGTACATGATCGACGAACAAATGCGTCATTATTACCCGAGTCAGCACGGGGTCATAATCACATCATTTTGTAATTCCAGTTCGGGTAAAATTACGGCTTGCTTTTTTCAGCCCGCACTTTAAATTTGACTGCGACTATAGTAGTGTTATACTATCAATGAATAAAAAATAATTAAATTCAAATTACATGTCATTGGAATCTTTTGTTATTTAGGTCATTTACCTAAACAACTTGCTCAAATCAGTCAAATTATTACATTATCACTCATAGTCACTCTAAATAGAATTAAACTATATTCAAAATTATTTAAAATGAACAAGAATTCTTGAAACAGTTTATTAACATGAAGTATTTACAGATTTATTGAATAATTTTCATAATTTTCTTTAAAAGAACTGTGAAAAACCTAAAATATATTTAAATCTGATAAATTTGTATTTTAAGAGATTTTATAATTCCCACACAAAATTAAATTGTTTATTAAAGAAAATTAAAGATGGATTCATCCCTTAAAAAATTAAGTTGTTTATTAAAGAAAAATAAAGATGGATTCATTCCTAAAAAATTTCGTAAATTATAAAGTTAAATTAAATGTTGTTACATTTATAGGAAAGGAAATATTCTTGGTGAATATAACCCAAAATACGTTAGATTTTATTATCAACTAAGCATATTTTTTTCCATTAGATGAAACATTGCAAATTTTATTTTGATGATAATTCATTTTGAAGCAAGATTTCCAATATTGCATTAAATATGGTTAAAAAACAAGTAAAAACAGGAGGACTGTTAAATTATGTGTCATTTGTGTGAAAAAGAGAACTCAGGAAACTTCAATGACTTTTCTGACAAAATTTTGAAATTTTTTGAAAAAAATCTTAAAGGAAACTTCACAGATTTTTTATATTGAAATAAAGATAAATTATTATTACCTTTGAATTAAAAAGTGTAAGTAAATATAGTAGCAATATTAAATTAAATATAAAGTTCACATAATTACATAAAGATCATCTTTCAAAGATGAAGCAACTCAATACAACCATGTATTGTACTAGAATTACTCTCTGCACTTACCAATCTAATGAGA